GGGTGCCTTACCTCCCTTGAGCTGGGCCAGCTGGTGGTCGGCCTGCTCCGTGTCTGCCGCTTGCCAGCTACGCCTGGGCCGGCGCAGGGGGCGGAACCACGCATGCGCGGCGCTCCCGGGCAGGGAAAGTCCTCGACTTACGACCGGTTGGGTAGTCCTCGACTTACAACCGGTTTAGTCCTCGACTTACGACCGGTTGGTGGTCGCGGCATTAAAAAGGTTGAGAACCACTGGTGTATGCATTAGTTATAATTTGTTTGGACTATTTTAATGTGCTACATCCGGTTGCCTTTGAGAACTATTTAGCAACTTCAGTTACTATAGAATGTTGCATCCAAAAAATGGGCCAGGACCAGTTAAATGGGGCATGTTACAGACCCAGCTACCATGGAGTTTTTGAACACAATGCAAAGTACGGCTTCTGACACATAAGTTCCTGTATGACTGAGAGACAGGCTATTTTCTCATTTGAATCTGGTCAGGTTTTAGGATCTCTGGGTGAGGGTATCCTAGTCTGCAAGAGATCATTAGGGGTGACAGAAAATGACAATAAGACAACATCTCCTCATAGGTTGCTTGTAGCCTCTGAAACTCCTTATAAAAGGAGATCAAATGAACATTGTTTCCATTGTTATCTTATCAGCAAGCAAATAAATAGTTGATCAGACAAACTTTGGAAATCTGGTGACTTTCTGTTGAAACCATTTAAACTTACAAATGCTAGTACTACTGATATATTACTATTTGATTATTCTTACATGATGGCTTTTAATATTTTAATTAAAATGTGTTACTTTACTTGTGGCTTATTTTTAGCCATTTTCAGGATTAATTTTGATGTCAATCCCATCTGAAAGAGCTGCTCTGACCACTGAGTCTAATCCCTTGCTGAATGCCAAAATCCAAATTAATGGATTTTGATAGGTGGTTGTCTAGCTTCTGCTTACACCTTTCTAGTGAAAATGAGCCCATCACCTCCCTGGGAAATTGGTCGCACTGTCAATTACTCCTGCAGTTAGAAAGGTTATTCCCCCCCCCTAAAAAACCCCACTGAATTGGAATCTATAACTTAATCTGTTAGTCTGCCCTCTGAGATAGTAAAAAAGAAGTTTGAATCTTATGTTTGACACCTTTTAGGTATTTCAAGAAGATTGTCATATCATCACCCCACTCTCCTGTAGCCTACCCAAACTAAATATAGCCAGCTCCTTCCATCTCTCTTTATATAGTGCAGGGGTCTTCAAACTTGGCCCTTTTATGACTTGTGGATTTGTGGCACGTTGGCTGAGGAATTCTGGGAGTTGAAGTCCACAAGTCATAAAAGGGCCAAGTTTGAAGACCCCTGACTTAGTGTCTAGTCAGTGTAAAATCTTGTATTATATTTCCTGACCACAGGAAATGCCATTTATATACCTACAGCTATTTTTAACACACGTTTTCCAGGAGATTGAGCTTGACTTTCTATACCACCCCCCAGTGTAATCTGTTCCTGAGTTCCAGAACCTAAAGATGCCATTATGAAATTTTAAAACGGGATTTTTATGAAAGCATCCTAAGAAATAACATCTTCTATGTTAGAAGATAGCATCTCTGTGACTAGAAAGCCCATGCAGGTAGTAGCTGACTTATAACCAAAATTGGGACTGGAATCCTGGTTGTCGATTGAAGAAGTAAGAGGCCTGCCTGACTGCTTCGTTCAATGATTCGATCCCAGTTGCAGTTGTTAAACAACCTCTGAGGTCGTTAAGTGAATGGAGTAACAGAGCTGCATGCTGAAGGATTTTAGCTCCCCTCTATGCACAGAAGGGAACTCCTCCAACATGCTGAGAATCTCTGCTTCTGAAGCTCTTGGGAGGAGTTTCCCCTCCCTTCTCTGTGTGGAGGGGGGGCTCCTCTAAAGGGCTGCACAAATGGAGAAGAGAAGGAAAACAGCAGTACAAAATGAATAACATTTTCTGTGCAATGGCTTTTGGCCTCAAGTGTACTGCTGTTCCAAGTATTTGATTCAGAAGATGCTGCTGATGCTATCACTGAATGGTCCACGGAGTAACATAAATAAACTAGTCAGAATTATAAACCATGATTCCAAACGGTGGTGAGCAATTGCCAATGGAGCCCAAGGATGAACAAAAGCTTCATCCCAGGTTATGAACTTCCGCTTTCATCTTTCCAGAAATATACCTTTGATAGGATTTACGTTCAATTTGCCGTCTTACCACAGCATGTAAAGCAAGATTCATAGATTATAGCCAAGTCCTGCTTATTTTTTATGCAGATCAGCTTCAAAATGTGAGGTTTTAATATGGTTAATAAAGCTGAGATTTAGAATTAGTGGAAACAAAAGCAAGGATTAGACTCCTTTAGGTCAGGGCTTTTCAACCCGTGGTATGCGTACCACTGGTGGTTCGTTGGCAGGTGGTACACTTACAATGGGTTGAAAAGCACTGTAAAAAACATGTAAAAAAAGTGTAAAAGTGTAGTGTGGGGATGAGCTGAAGCGGCGGCAATGCAGCACAGGCCTGTGGGAGAGCCAGCTGGAGCCACGGTGTTGCTGAGCGCCCAGGATCCGCGCCAGGCTCCAGCTGACTGGTGCTTCCAGAAGCTGTGTGCAGCCTGGGGAAAGGAGTCAGTTGCAGCTACACCAAAGACAAAAGGAGGAGGGAGAGGGGATAGACATGGCCAAGGGGTGTTTACATTTGGCCCAGGGCTGCCCTGGAGACAGCGAGGGGCCGGCCCACCCCAGCCCCCAATCAAAGGAAAACCCCGAATCCAGCGGGCCAGAAGGCAGCCCAGCCACCACAATCCTCTGTTTCTTTCTCCTTGCCCCCTGGGCACAGACACAGTCGCCACTGCTCACCATAGCTGGGGCGGGACTTGCAAGTACCTCTGTCCTGCAAAGTGGCGCTTCCTCCCACTGCCATACTGGCAGCCCCGACTAAAGGCCGCACGCTCCAGCCTCGCCTTGCCAAGGAAGAGGGAGGTGGCTGAGACTATGTCCGATTTGCAGCTTGTCGGGGTGCTCAGAGGCTGCCCAACTTTACTCTGGAATTTTAGGGTTGGAAAGTGGAGGGGCAGCACCGCGTTTGCAGGCCTGGTGGCACCTGCTGGGAAACCTCCTACTCCCCCCTCACAGCTACCTCCTTCGGAGCCATCCTGATTCTGACAGGCCTGCCGGCATGGCGACAAGCGAGAATGCTGGGTGAGATGTGCTTTGCAGGACGAAGCTGGCGGACCTATGCCGGCAGGCCCGTCAGAATCAGGGCAATCCTCATTCTAGGTCCATCCTTCTTTCCATTCTTTACCCAGCTTTCTGACCTGCTGCCCTTTTGCACTGAGTGTAATTTAATGTCTTTTGATATTCTTTTGGCAGTACAAGGGCTTCTGAAATGTGTCAGACTATTTTAGTTTGCCAGTGATTTCAAATGTACTTCCTGTGTACTTCTTATAGTATACTAGTGCCCAGAACATTTTGAATGATGGGATGATCTTGTTATCCTTCTGGGTATTTATTTTAATTAGCCTACATCTCATAAGATTTTGCTGATCTCCGCTCTAAGTAAGTTTGGGAGGCTATAAAACAAGTTTTGGTTGCAATCGATACCGTACTATTTATGGGGATTATTTTATTAAATCCTGGCGTAAAAAAGAAGGTTAAGAGATATTGGGCAAAACATGTACGTTGGTTCAGCAAAAACACATATATTTTTTGCTTACTCCCCACCCTGTCCACAGTTATATCTTATTTAATAACACTGGGATAAATTCAAACATATAAATACCCCACAATATTTTTAGAATAATTTCATAATTTTTCGGATTCTCCACTACTCTGGACTCTATTAAATTATTTTAAAATGACTCAACTTCCCTTCCTTCTGATCTGAGAGTTTAATTTCACAATATTTGTATTGTTATACTCCTGAAATCCATAAGCAGAAACTAAGCCCCACTGGGAGGGGTGACTTACTGCAAACTCATTTTGTAAGAAGTGTGGTTCTGGTATTCTATCTTTGTGCATATTAAATACGCATCCAATTTTGAAACTGTCTTGTAAAATGTATTTGTTTATGTGAGTGAAGTAAGAATGATTGAACACTGTAACCTATAGGGTGTAGCTGTGGAATAAGATATTTGCTTAGTTTGATTCTGTGATTCTACTTCATCATAGTTTTTAACATAGGCTAAATTGTGAAAGGCATAATTTTACCCTGATGAAATGTTATGAGACCACAGGAAAAACAAACTGGTTATATACATGGAACATGCCACAGAGGCATCTTATAAATGTCACACACAATAAGAATATCACCTCGGCCACAACTTCATTGAGCTGAACTTATAGGAGAAGCAAATGAAGAGACTACTTGATCACTGAGTCAATTCTTATAACTTAAATCGATAATGTGTGAAGTTAGCTCACTATAAATCTTAATTAGCTAAGACAACTGGTAAATTTACATGCTGCTCTTGTAATTCTTCTAGCCTAATGACAACATATTACTATTAGGCTTCTCAGAACCAGGGCAGAATTTATAATCTTTTATCTGAATTTTTATCTCAATTAAGATCAACTGCTAACAAAGTAACTATCCAGAGAAAGTTGCTCCAATAAATATTTACTGACATTTGCACAGCCAGCATTGATGTAGTGTAGCTCCTCTCAGTATACCATGTTCATAAGCCAGTTATGTAATCAGCATGCAATGCTCAGTACTTTCTTGATTTTTTTTTTAAAAAAACCCCTGCATTCAATTTTGGGAGGCATATCTCACCCAATACCAATCCTTCTAGCTATTTTTTGTGTTATTCTGGCAACAAATATGAGTCTTTTAATTTTAATCAGGTACAGCAATCAGATGACAAAACTGAATTTTTGTAATGCACATTTGCATGTTTCTTTGCTCTCATCTAGATTTGAAAAGGCACCATTTGATTTAAAAGTGCTTTACTGAAAAATAAAAGGAAAAGCAGGAGTTTCATAAAGTCTGCTATACCCTTACCTGTGTTCTGACTGAGGGATCTTTTTTAATCCACTTTATCACTGTTTCGTAAACCAGTTCTTCCGTTTTTGTGTTTAGGCTGTCATTTGACATATAGGAAATGACGTCATCCTTTGAGATATTAAGAATCTCCTCTTGATTTGCCACCTCAGGGAAAATCTGCAGGGCGTAGGCCTTCGCCATATTGTATAGTTCGCTGCACTGCATTGCTTCAGCCATGGCTAATATTCCTAAGCAATTGCTAGCAGTCAACTGTTTTTCTAAAAAGAACATAAGAAACAAAAGGTATAGGACAGGACTTCCATTTTCTTGACCAATATTACATGCCACAGGTCACAAATGTGTACCGTGATGATGGTTTTTACTCATTGTACATACAGCTTGTCTGTCATTTCTTGGTTCTGTTTGTTATAAATAGCAATAGCATTTAGACTTATATACTGTGTCATAGTGCTTTATAGCCCTCTCTAAGCAGTTTATAGAGTCAGTATATTGCTCCCAACAATCTGGGTCCTCATTTTACCGACCTCAGAAAGGTGGAAGGCTGAAGCAACATTGAGCCAGTGAGGATCGAATTCCTGGCAGTGAACAGAGTTAGCCTGCCATACTGCAGTCTAACCACTGTGCCACCACGGCTTACGCCATCTGAATGCTCTCTGAAATCTCAAAGGGGGGTTGGAGATGAAGGATTTTGCCTCAAGTATTGAAAACACAGCAAGATAAACACCAGCTTCTATCAAAATGTGCATAATAAGAGTAATAATATAAATACAAAATGAGCCCAGCATATCTTAAATATTAATGTTATCAAGAGGGGGCATGAACAGCCAAGAGTAGGGGTGATGCTAGGGGCTGTATAGATATGGCAGTTCCATGAGAGCATTAAAGGGTACAGAAGCTAGCAGTTAGATATAAAATTCAACATCTTGAGAATCTTAGATTTCTTTTTTTTTTTTCAAAAAGAACCCCCATTTTTTTAAAACATTTATTATTATGATGGTTCCAGAAATCGGAGAAGTTGGAGCAGTTAAGGATATTACTTCCTCCACCTACCCACACCATACTGCAACAGTGACTTTGCAGTTGTTTCCCAATTAAAACTCAAGGATTTGGGATTAAACAATTCTTGAAATTAATTGCATAAATAATAGTAAGTCCTCAGAAAAAGATTAAAATAAGTAAATCCTCAAGAAAGAAACCTCAAAAAAGATTCTGCAGGAGTCTTAAGAGTGTCACCCCAGTGAAAAAAAATCTGAAAGTAAAGATATTTCAAAGGAAAGAGAAAACAATCTAAATCCCATTTTCATCAGGGTAAATAAAGATCTACTTTTACTGGGGGGAAAATCCTGTTTTTTGGGGGGGGGAATTTCTTATGAGAAAGGCAGATTTTTCAGTGGAAAATCAAAAATATCTCTTTTTACATTAAGGATCTATCTTTATATATATAGTCCCCTGGGTCAATTAGAAATCATCAAACATGCAGCTTCCTGTAATTTAAGGTAAAATGTGCCCTCAACGCTACTTGGTAGAAGACTAACCAAGTGTACCCCAGGGGACTAAGTGACAGACAGCTGCAACTATCTTCTCCAGAAAGCTTGGTTCTTTCTAAAATGGAAACCAATTGGACAAAGTTATCTAAGGATATAAGAGATACGGGTTCAGTTAACCACAGCAACAAAATCTGAATAAATGAATAACTGTATTTTTGTACAATGTATTGATGACTTTGAGATTTTGAACTGGTCTTGCATGACATGTACTACTAAAATTCTCCTGTCTGTTTGTCTGTTTGTAACCTTCAATTAATCCAAATGGTGCATCATAGCACCAACATTTTTGAATTAAGGTACCTCAAATTTGCTAACTCAAAGGACATGCATGAAATCTGGAATGCTTTACTTTAAATTTAAAGGATCTTCACACCAGTTGTACTGTGGCTGCCACAGCACTGCCACATTGCCAGGGCCAGCTATAGTCACGTGATCATGATTTCTGATTCTCACAAGCAAAGTCAACAGAGAAGGAAGTCAGAAACCACTTTCACTGGGGGTTTTTTTGGCCCAGCTATGGTTATTCTGTTGATCTGTTTAGGTAAGTAAATATCTCTGAAACAGCGACTCAAAAATTATCTAGTTTGTTTCTAATGCTTATGCTGTCATATTATGGTAGTAAAGCAAGTTCCACTTGGAAAGGGCTTTTTGTGTACATAGCATTGGCAAAGATTTTTTGGACGGAAATTCAGGCATAATATTTAAATAGTAACTTACTAGTTTTCATGTTTGCTAATGATTTTTAAGTGTTAAAATTATTTTGAAATCTATATCACTCTTAAACTAATAAAACTCAGTTCTCTTGAACAATTCTTATTATCAAAGGATCAAATGGAGATATAATGCTTCCAATTTTCTCAAGCGTTTGCTTTAGAACAATATAAAAACTTACTCTTAGTTTCTTTTGTTTTACTGCTTCTTTAACCTGTCTGTTTACTAATGATTAAGCTTTATATCAGAACTGTTAATTCTGATTAGTGATAGTCCAGATATAGCTTTTCAAAGCATCCCATCGCCCAGGATTTAAAATTAAGAAGTAGTTGAAACTGAACTGTTTTAGTCTTCATGGCAGCCGGTGTTAGGGCCAACAGAATGCTTCATCATGTTCAGACGGGTGGAAGGAATACATGTAGACAGGTTGAGACTTCTTCACTCATTGCCAATCTGCTAACCATGGTTAAAATGTCTCAGAAAACCACATCTTCACTAATCCAAAGATATGAAACGAAAGGGAGGTTCACTCATGGTGCCAAATCAGAATTTGGGCATGACTTAACATCATGAACTAATCCAGCTCTTAAAGATTAGTTAGGTATGGTTTATGACACATGGCACCATGCAAATCTACCCAACTGTGTTTTATTCAGCACATCTTGATAAAAATGTGGCTTAGCATGATATGCAAACTCAAAATTCTTCAGTCTGAATGGCTGACTAGCAGAGGTAATTGCAGCTGTGTTGGTCCACAAGCAGCAATATAATTTAATCATTTTTTTCCCCTTCATCACCAACGAGGACAGTAGAATTATAAATTCTGCTGTATACTTTGATTCCTATTCATATCATGTTTTTTCTTGCCTGGTTAAAACCTTGAGGTGCTGTATTCAGTGTACTATATTGCACGTTTTCATGGGAAAGCACTGTATTTAGAAATCATATTACATTTCCCCCTGTGTATCTGCTTATTTTATTTCCAAAATAATAATAACAAAAACACATTAAAAATCACCCACAAGACAGCAAAGGAAATAGAACTGCTCTAAATATTCTCTTCAATCTTTAGGTTACTTAAAGCCAGCTAAAAGAAAATGGAAGAGGAGAGGAAGAGGAATACAAATTCAAACAGAAAATTAATCCCTAAGCCAATTTGCCTCTGTAACATAGTGAGAAGACCTACCGGTAACTAGTTTTTCCATTAGTCTCTCTCAGAAGAACACTGGAAATAGTGCATTAAAGTGATGCAATGCTTATGATAAAATGAAAAATGAGTCCAGCTAAAATGCTTTTCTCTAAACTTTTCATACAGCAAATACTCTACGACCTGCTTCTGCAACTCAATCCAGCAAGGGCTATAAATCAAAACAAGCAATTATATTTTATGAATTCTCCAAATGAGACCGCAAGCCTTTAGTTCCTCATATATAATGAAACTTGCAGCCAAGTCTCCCAATTGCATAACTATAACACAGTTCACTGAATTCAAATATTAAGTATTGGAAAAGGAAAGTTTCACATTGATTTAGTGGAAATAAATATATTGTGTTGTAATAGCTGAATCTTTAGAGATAATGTGTACTGATATATTTGTGGGCTATTATAAAATCTATAAAATCTGTTAAAACATGCTGGAGCACGGTTATTAAATCCACACTAGGCCGGCAAATGCTATGAAATATCCATCTTTAAACTCTATGAATAAAAACTGGACCAAACAGATGCAGAGAAATCAGAAAGCACAAAAGCCTTGAGGCCTATTTGGGCATTAGTGAATCCAGAACGCTCCCTTCATGAGCCCTCCAGATGAGTCTTTCTGCAACTAGGGCAGTGGTTCTCAACCTTTTTAATGCCGCGACCCCCAACCGGTCGTAAGTCGAGGACTAAACCGGTCATAAGTCGAGGACTAAACCGGTCGTAAGCCGAGGACTAAACCGGTCGTAAGCCGAGGACTTTCCCTGCCCGGGAGCACCGTGCATGCGTGGTTCCGCCCCCTGTGCCGGCCGAGGCATAGCTGGCAAGCGGCAGAGACGGAGCAGGCCAACCACCAGCTGGCCCAGCTCAAGGGAGGTAAGGCACCCGCCGGAAAAGGGGAAAAAAATGGCGGACAGCCTTGCTTGGTGACCCCCGTGAAATGGTCGATCGACCCCAAATGGGGTCGTGACCCACAGGTTGAGAACCGCTGAACTAGGGTGATTGTAATAATATTGGTGGGGCAGAAGTGGGAAATGATTCAAGCCCCCAAAAGGAGAGCAAGGTTTCTTGCCTTTGCCATAATCTAGGGGTTGCAATCATAAATAGCAAGTAAATAGGGAAAGGATGTGACAGGAGAATGCTGGATTCCATTTTGTTTCTAGCATTGTCACCAAAGGTTCAAGTGGGTGGGGTGAGGAATCCCAATTTCGGAGAGCTTTTTAATTCCACAGTTATTCTGAATTATGATAAAAAGTTCACCAGACCATAGGAACGATTCCTTCCCCGTTTCATTTGGAGGCATTTCTAAGGGCAGTTCTAGGGCTCTATGCTTCTTTGATAATGTAAAATACTACAGTTCATATATAATCCCAGAGGAGCTGAAAGGCAAAACAGAAGCTGAAATAGCATCAATACTTACCTAGAAAAGAGACACAGACTTTGCAGAATGTATGAAACTGGAATTTGCTGGCAGCCTCGAGAAGGGTTTTGGCGTTGGCAGAGTCTATTACTAAGGAACCTGTATAAACAAATTCCAGCAGCAGTTCCAGAACATCCGCTGTGAGATTTGATAATTCCAGCTCCAGCTTCTCGCTGCTTCTGCTACTGTCCCGGGGTGACCTAGCAACAGCAGACAACGAAATTCTTACAGGACATTAACTTTTCCCTAATGGTTGTCACTTACTGATGCCCAGAAAATCAATATTATAAATTCACTGACATAGACTCTTCTTGTTTTTGTTTAAGAATAAAAAAAAAATACTGTATCTTAGAGAACAGATGAACTTAAAAGGGTTTTATTACTGGATCTGAAAGAGAAAAATCTGCACATTCAAAAAAAATCAGTTTATTGCTACTCTGCATATTCATGCAAAAAAATCGCAAACCAACAAAATGAACAAAAATTAAGAACAAAATCAGCCAACATTAATGAAAATATGGAATAGGATTAAGTTTCAAAGGGAAGCAATACATTTTTATGTTTACAGTTCGCATCTCTCCATCACTGAATAACAAAACCAAGCAGGAGAAAAATAAACCCTGCTTTGTAAATGAACACCTTATCTCTTTTTTTGTTCCCAGGAGCTGCATCCTTCATAAAATACATGGAATTATATCGCCAAATAGAAAGTAATAGCAAAATGGAGTTTAAAAATTCTTAGCTTCGTATTCTCAAGGCTGCAGGCAATTTGAAAATAATCTGTACATTTGGTATCGACACATTGGTTGACCTTAAAAATATATTGTTCCCTTTAAGGCGCTTAAAAAAAAAAATAGAGGAAGGAAGGAGACCTCTCATGGTATTGCTTTGAAAACTAAATACAAGACGAGATAGACAGACAAAATGGTTAGAGCAAAGGAGGGACGGGGGTGGAACAACGACCAGCTCTGCCACAGCCAGCCAGCAGCCATCCTCTCGAAGTCTCATGACTGTGGCCTACCGCTTTTTCCTGCGTAAAGTGCTAAACAATTGAGTGATCAAAAATAGCGCCTGCATTTCAAGTGTGCATTAGTGCTTGTGAACTTATTAGACAAAAAATAGATACACGGGGAGGGTGTTGGGGTGGGGGGGAAGGGCCCAGTTCCTAAGGGCTGGCACATGGATATAGCTGCTGCAAAATGCTAAAGTTGGGTTATACCTGAAAGACAAAATAAAACAAAAAGCATTTGGTAATATCAAGAAAAGGGGAGGAAAGTCTGTTAGCATAGGAAAGCAAACACCTTTTAAATGGTTAGAGCCATCAGCACCTTCTTACAGAAGCCTTAATTGGTTTTAATGTGGGTTCAAGTCCGGGTGCTCTGCCATTGAAACCTGTGTCGGAATTAACACCAACATTTATATCAGCTTTCAGCAGCTCTCACGTCTCCCAATGATTACAACAATTATTTATTTATTAACCCACCTTTATTATTTTTATAAATAACTCAAGTCAGCAAACATACCTAATATTTCTTTTTCCTTCTATTTTCCCCACAACCACCACCCTGTGAGGCGCATTGGTCTGAGAGAGTGAGAGAGAATGACTGGCCCAAAGTCACCCAGCTGGCTTCCATGCCTAAGGCAGGACTAGAACTCGCAGTCGGCTGGTGTTTAGTCGGCTGGTGCCTTAACCACTAGACCTAGCATATTACTAGGATTCCTATTTAAGACAACTCTGTTCTGATGCTACCAAAAGTTTCAATACCTCAACTTGAGAATATAGTGTATACTCAGTAATTTTGGCATCTTTACAAGTATGGTTGCATTTTACCTGGGTAAAAACCTTACAAATTGTCCTATGAAATAGTGTAGGTTTTATGTAGGTTGCAGAAAACAAAGTAGAGAATTGTACACTTGGATACTACTGCATGCAGTTCACATCTGGCTTAAATTACTCAATAACTTTGTTGCTTCAGTTTGTGTGGAAGTCTCTTTCACCTCCCTATGTGTCTTTTTCTCACTGGTATCATATTGTTATCGATGAGGATGTGCTTACTCATTCCATCATCCATTGCTTCTATGCTGAAGAACACAGCAACAAGTCCAATAGCTAGCAGTTAAATCTGGTAAGGAGGCAGCATTTTTTCTACTTGCTTAAAGGGAAAAATCATAGAAGGGAAAAACTCACTATTTGCAAAAGCCAGAGAAAGAGCAAGGTAGAACGTGAATCTGGGTGAGGGTATTTCTGTTCATGCTTTTGTCACAAGATGCTAACATTTATATATGCTAATTGTATCAATAGTTCTGCAAGTGATTAATCATACTCAGTTCTCCCTGGAGACAACAGGAAGGTAAATGCATCCAAAAATTTGTTAATAGCTGTAACCACTATTAGATTTTTTTTAAAAAAAAAACAAACCCAATATTGGAGACAACTCCAGATTGTTATTTCCCTCTGGAATAATTTTGTGATGATCTCTTCTCTTCATAATATACCAAGCAATAAATGGCTGTTCTAATTGATTAAGCACCAAAACAAAGCTAAGGTGTTTAATCAATCACAAAAACTGCTCATGGTGAGCTGTAATACCCAGCAGAGATTTATTGATCTAACATGACTTGCCAGAAATGGAAAAGAAAATTATATCCTTTTCTTTCTTCTGGTGACAGCTTAATATTGGCAAGATGAGGTAATGGAGCTGCTGTGTGGCACACAGATCAGGGTACATTGCATGACAAGAAAGTTCTTGACCCAATCAGCAAAACAAATTACATTAAAACAAATACATTTTAAAAAAGGCAAGCAAAGACACAAAGAACAAATATGGCTTCCATGAAGATGGACAGCCTTGAACAAAGTTAAACAAGAGGGTAGATGGATTTCGATCATGGTTCCTGTGAGATAAGCAAAAGGATATAAACCCACCCAAGTGATGGACTGAGTAGATTAACTTCTATAACTAGACAAACAATATCTCCTATTCCCACTAAAACTCACCAATAAAGGAGAGTATTAGTAGCTCAGGGTTGAAATGAGGGGTCCTTGGTGCTCTCTGAGCTTGGTTGTTTTCTTGCAGACATTTCATTACTCCAACTAGTACTCAGCAACTTCGGCACTGATGACATTACCTGATTTGAGTAGGTAAACGTTTGCAAGAAAACAACCAAGCTCAGAAATCACCAAGGTCCCCCCCCACTAAAACTTATCTGGTAAACTGCAACAAGCAAGGACTGATTAGTTAGCATCAACTGCTGTTCCCTCTCTCATGCCAAGGCAAGAAACCTGTTCTTCCAAGGCTGCTCATATTGTTTTGGAAACAAGGGCCAAAAACAAAACAAAACCCTCACATCCATTGCACAAGAAGGTGCCTCACTCTGCTTAATGGAAGGATCTATCCTGAAAGTAAAAAAAAAAATGATGACAAAATACACATTGGATACAATAGGGGCATTGAAATGGCCTCCAACTACCTCAGATAGGTGTGAGATCTTGCTGGACAACTCAGGAAGCTCTGAACCCCCTCTTTGAGTGAATTGAGGCAAATAGACAAGTTTTCATGATCTGTAATTGTTGTAGGAGGTTCCAACAGTTCCCTAATTCACTTTGGTACACATAATGGGTAGCAATCTATAGAATCGTTTTTCACTAAATAAGAAACTGGGTGCAAGGAGAATATATATTTTTTCTTAACATTGAAAATCACCTGTTCTTTCTGGCTACAATTTTTGGAGCAATTTACCCAGCTTTTGCCTAAATACATTCTCTCTCACATATATAAAAAAAACACAACAGCCTGTGGTTGGAACAAAGATGACATTTCTTATTGCTTAAGAGGGCTTCTGTCTCTATAAAATAGGGATCTCCAAACTCAGCAAACTTAAGACTTGTTGACTTCAGCTCCCAGAATTCCCCAGCCTCCTGGTTGGGGAATTCTGGGAGTTGAAGTCCATAAGTATTAAAGTTGCTGAGTTTGGAGACCCATGCTATAAAACAAGAATGTGCAATATATTTCAGACCGAAGTCTGCACCTGAGTAGCATACCAAGACCCATGCTGCTTACAGTAGGAAATGACCAAGGCAGGATACCTTTATGAAGCTAGGGAAGAAAACAAACATTATAATATTGTTTTATTTTACTCAAATTAAATACAGTAGAAGAGAAGACAGGTAGCTCAGGGTGGAATTGTGAAGTCCCAGGTACCCTCAGAGAGCACCACTGATCCCACAATTAAATACAGTTAATATAATTGTTCCCCAGGTTCTTTAGTGACACTCTCCTTCTGCCAAATTAAAAATTAGTTTGGCAACAAATTATGGTGGAAAGGATTAGGGTTATAGCTGTATTTCCTTGACTCTCTGTGATTGCCTGAGGCTGCAGCAGGAAAACACTGCTGAAACAATCAAAGGCTGCAATTGCTGAGAATAATCATATTTAAAGAGGGGAAGGTTGCATTAGCAGTTAAGTATTTCTACGGAAAGGAGTAAATTGGCTTATGCAGTGTCAAAATTTAGGGTAAAATTTAGGGGCGTATACAATAAATTTCAACCCCCCCCCAAAAAAGAGAGAAGGCAATTAAAACTTTCAAGTGGTGCATATGATACTACACCTGAAATGCTATATGTAGTACGAAGTGTCAAAAATGTGCATTTGTACAATTTTATGTATTACTGGAGGTTGAAATGTGCATTTGTACAAGTTTATGTATTACTGGAGGTTGGCTGGAATACATTTTAGAAATCAGTAAATACTTAAACTGTATGGTGTATTAGGTTTTTTCCCCTTCTCCCTGAAAGTTTAAATAGAATGATGTCATTTATTGACCCAGTAATCACTGCTCACATTATAAAGGTCAAACATTTCACACTGTGGCAGGAAATCAATAACTTTCCCCAACAATTCATGGGGGATATTTTTTTTGCTTCCAAAGAATAATGTCTAATAATTAATGATTTTTGTCTTTTTTTTTTATCAACCTAGCATTGGAGAATGGATGCACTGAATAGTTAGTCAGGCCTTATAAAGATATTAGGAAGTCAAGTTATATCAGAGGCCAATCAATTTGTTCAAGTTAGTATTAAAGAAGGTAGTGAGCTTTTTAGCATCTAACTTTTATGAGGTTTATGAGTGAATTATTCCAGAATTAGGACATATGGAGCCTATAAGGACTATACCAGCAAGAATCAAGAAAGGGAAGCTCT